AATAAACCCTGATAAAAGCCGAATTAAAACCAAATATTCCCAGCTGTGTTTCCGATTAAAATACTTTTAAAATTATCCCTACCTAAAATCCTCCCTAGGTCAGGCCCGCTTGCTGGAAAAGCCATGTCTTGAGGGCGCGGCGGAAAGTAAGGAGATCCGGAATCATCCGGATCTCGGGGGGTAGTTCATTCCATTTATGCCCTGTATCCTGTTTACTTAGAAGCTGCTCATAGTGAACTGAAATGAATATAATAACTAATATGGATATTAATCTAATAGTCTGTATTTCTTCTGGAAATTGTGCTGCACTGAGGTCTGTAATCTAGCCAATGTATAGGACAAGTAGAATTGGTTCCCTGGATCATAGAGTGAGGCACTTCCATTTGGTAGAGGTAATTCAAATGGTCTTTCGAATGGAGGTGTGCTTCTGGTGTGCAGGGGTTAGGGCTGGTTGTAAAACCAAAGTCTTGGAGAGGTTTGTAGGATGTTAGTCCCGAGTTGAATTTCTGGTTTGTTCTCTCTTCTGTTTGCATTTCTGGGCAATAGGTGGTTTGAGAGTAACTCAAATTTTCTAATAGCATTCCTAAAGTAGATTGTTTGCGACTGAATTCCTGAGGCTTCTCCAGCATGACTAATTGGTCAGAAATTATATCATTCACTTCTGTTATTCCAGGACTCATCTGTGTATGAATAACAACTGAATTAAAAATACACATAAAGAGCAGACAGAATACAGAGTGAAAAACAGATATTCAGATATAAGAATATGCAATACTCTCACCCTCCATTCAAGGACAGGGGTCTGTCCATCCTTCACTGAGTGGTAATCGCCTCTTATTTAAAAGAAGGTAGAATCTGCTTTTTTTTTAAATCAAGCTTGGGGTCACGAGGGAAGAGGAGAGGTTAGCACATTGGACAAGTGATGGTCACTCATGAAAAGACAGATGAAGCCCACAGGCCTTTTTTCTATACTCAGATCAGTTAATTATTTTCTGATACTTATTATTCCAATACATACTGTAACCATCACCATCATTTTTGTAGCTAACCACTAAAGACCTAAGTAAGAAAACAGTAAGTATAAGCCCTTTATATTTATACTGAATACTGTGTTGGAAAACTTGGAAAATTTACCAATTCCAATTCACTTTTCCTGACATGGCTATTGAGGTAATTATCAGAATTACTTTTAAATCTGTGTATATCAATTAGGTATTCATTTATAATAGCTAATAACTTTTTTTGGCAAAAATACATTTTTATCTAAAGAATGCACTCAGAAAATGATACACTTGAGTCCCCTAACAAAATATAACTAAAAACTCTGAATATAAAGTAGATATTCCTCAATGGGGGCCTTACCTTTTTTTCTAATTCTTTTAATCTGTTTTCATACACTATCTCCAAAATGTTTAGAGCAATATACAGATTTGTTTTTGCAAAAGCTATACAAAATGAACCTGCTTTTTATCCTAATGCTCCAAGGTGTTAACAAAGTCTACTACTTTAGTAAAAATGAGGCATTCAGCATCAGGGTACAAGCTCTGCCCTTTATGTATATCAATGCAACATCAAAACTTAATGCAGAAGAGATGGACTTTGTATTGCAATACTGTGATGCTGTTGTTGCCCTCTATTAAATGTAGTGTAACATCCATGAATCCCAACTCCCACATCCTGGATGGGAACTCCAGCAATTGCATTATCAGAACGTCTTGACGGCACCAGATTGAGAAAGTGCAATTTCTTGCATTTTAAGTGCAATTTCTTAATGATATAACCTTACCTTAAAAATTGGAGTCACTTTAGGTTGGGGTATTGTAGGATATAAACAATTCCTTACACTGGAAAAAAAAAAGAGATGGGGATATTACCTTATTTCTTCATAAAGAGGGGAAAAACATTTTTCAAAAACTAAACTCAGTTTAAACATAGGTACTTAGATTCAGTTCCCACATTAAAAAATATCATGGGCAACTGAACACTTATGATGTCTTATAATTAGAGCCTTGCTTAATTTGACAATGTTTATCAGAATAGAACTGGAAGAGACCTTGGAGGTCTTCTAGTCCAGCCCCCTGCTCAAGCAGGAGACGCTATAGCATTTCAGACAAGTGGCTATCCAGTCTCTTCTTAAAAACCTCCAGTGATGAAGGCAAGCTTTCCACTGGTTAATTGTCCTCATTGTTAGGAAGTTTCTCAATTCNTGATTCCCTCTTCTTTGATGTAGCCCCTCAAATCCTGGGATACTGCTATTATGTCACCCCTAGTCCTTCTTTTCTCTAGACTAGCCATACCCAAATCCTGCAACCATTCTTCATCTGTTTTAATTTCCAGGCCTTTAATCATCTTAGTTGCTCTTTTTTGCACTTTTTCCAAAGTCTCAACATCTTTTTGTAATATGGTGACAAAAATTGGATGCAGTATTCCAGGTATGGTCTTACTAAGACTTTATAAAATGGTACTAATACTTCATGTGATTTTGATTCTATGCCTCTATTTATACAACTAATGATTGTATTAGCTTTTTTGGTTGCTGCTGCATGCTGCTGGATCATATTTAAGTGATTGTCCACTAGGACTCTAAGGTCCCTCCCACAGTTACTATTTTTGAGCCAGGTTTTGCCTAATCTGTACTTGTACCTTTGGTTTTTCCTGCCTAAGTGTAAAGCATGCTTTTCTCCACATTAAATTTCATTTTGTTTGATAGGGCCCATTGTTCACATCTGTCAAGACCTTTTTGGATCCTGAGCTTGTCTTCTGGGGTGTGACTATTCCTTCCAGCTTAGTGTCATCTGCAAATTTGATGAGTTCCCCTTCTATTCCTTCATCTAAGTCATTTATGAAGATATTGAAGAGTACTGGGCCTGACAAGAAACCTTGTGATACCCCACTGCTTACTTTTCTCCATGTAGATGTAGTACCATTAAGGACTACTTGTTGAGTATGGTTTATCAGCCAGTTACAAATCTGGTGGTGATGCTGTCTATGATCTATCCCACATTTTTCTAGTTTGCCAAGAAGTAGGTTGTGGCCTACTTTGTCCAATGCCCTATTGAAATCTAAGTATATTATGTCCACAGCATTTTGCTGCTCTACTAATTTAGTCACTTTGTCAAAGAATGAAATAAGATTGGTTTGGCGTGATCTGTATTTGACAAACCCGTGCTAGCTACTAGTTATAACTTTATTTGTTTCTAGATGTTCGCAGATCTGTTTTTTTATTATCTTTTCCAGTATCTTCCCAGGTATTGAGGTTAGACTGATTAATCTATAGATTCCTGGGTCTGTTGTTTTTTTCTTTTTTTGAAGATGGGAACCACATCAGCTCTTTTCCAATCCTCAGGTAATACCCCAGTGTTCCAGGATTTTTAAAAGATATGGTACAATGGTTCTGAGACAACATTTGCCAGCTCCTTTAGAACTTTGGGATGTAATCTGTCAGGTCCCAGTGATAGATATTCATCATGATCAGACAGGTGTTCTCTTGCCATTTTCTTGTTTATTTTAATTTTTATTTCTAGTCTGTCTTTTACAGTTATGTTTTTGATAAGTTGGGCTATAGTTTCTTTTTGTGTGAAGACTGATGGAAAGAATGAGTTAAGGAGCTATGCTTTGTCTCTACTGCTGTGATATTTATGTCTGCTGCTTCTTATTACTGTTGATTTTTTCTTTTTTGCTGTGCACTTACCGATTACTTTTCCTGGAGCACATACACATCAGCATTAATGGGATAATCACTAGTAAGTAAAGTAGATGGAAAAGCCATTTTCCTGTTGGAAAGAAAATCAGGTGCACTTCTATTTAAATGTTTAATTGTAAAGAAAAAAGATTTTTCAATTAATTTTTAGGAAAATAGAAACATAACATTAGTAATCATCTATTTCTTGATGAAGAGTTATGTTTCACTGATTAAATTGGAAGATGCCAACAAAGGCTAATTAAAAAAATGTGGTTGTCAACTGTGGTTGGCACAATGGCTCAGTGGTTAAAGACGCAGAGCTTGTCAGCTCCCTTGGTTAAGAAATGGAATGAACACCACCTCCGAAGTCAGACACAACTGAGCAGGGGAAGCCTTTGTCTTCACCTTTATATGCTATATGTAGAAATGCAAACTATTATATTCAAAATAAATAAAAGACATGGGTCCAAACCCACAACAATCTTTCAAGCTGCCAAAATTCAAAGAAGTTAATAATAATAATAATAATAATAATAGTAAAGTTGGAAGGGACCTTGAAGGTCATCTAGTCCAACCCCCTGCTCAGGCAGGAAACCCTATACCATTTCGGACAAATGGCTGTCCAGTCTCTTCTTAAAAACTTCCAGTGTTGGAGCATTCACCGCTTCTGGAGGCAGGTTGTTCCACTGGTTAATTGTTCTCACTGT